GTCGAGGAAGGTGCTAAAATTCGGGCCAATATTTTTATTAAAAATGTGCTTTAAAAATTTCAAGAAATTACATTATATTTCATTAATTAGGTACCTTTCACATGCTCATCAATACCTACCTTATCAGACACTGTAGAAGTTTCCAAATCTCTCTTAAATTGAAAGCGAAACAAATGTATACAGATCAGACTATTCTGCTCCTTTCATTTGTTTGTGATTATTTATACGAAAAACTTCATGATATCACACCAAAAACACTTCCGTGTAAAAATGACCCGCCAAGCTAAAAATATAATTATTCGTCGCCCTAAATGCAATGATATCACATGAAGTAGACGCCAAGCAAATTTCCTGATTATAAATTGAAAGTTTCTCCTCCCTTCAATATTATTACCGGAAAAACGAAAACTATAGACAAAAAATAATTTAAAAAGACCGATAAAATTTATCATTTTTTTCTTGTACAATTGTACTACAAAAAAGGATGATAAATTCGTATCCCTTTTTTAAATTATTTTTTTTGTCTATAATTTTCGTTTTTCCGGTAATAATGGTGAAGGGAGGAGAAACTTACAATTTATATTCAGGAAATTTGCTTGGCGTCTACTTCATGTGATATCATTGTATTTAAGGCGACGAATATTTATATTTTTAGCTTGGCGGGTCATTTTTACACGGAAGTGTTTTTGGTGTGATCCAGATTCCAGGTAATAGTAGGAGGAGAGAGAAGATGAGAATGGAGATGAAGAGGGGATAGATGGTATTTACAGTTGGATTTTGTTGTGCGGGAGAAAGATTGCTATTTTTTTTTGCAGACTATGGGTTCAGGGTTTTGTAATATTTTAATGAGGGTTGTCGGAATTTGATGTGGTGGGAGAGTTGATATATGAGATTGGTTTTGTTTTTGCGGCATTCTAGGAGAATATAGGTATGTTCAATTGTTCCGATTTGATTACCTACATTCACATAGGTTGGTTGGGGCTGTTTTAATTTTGAAATGATGGGCCAGGAAATAGACCACTATACAAGGTACGAATTTAAGCGCTCTGATACATGTTTCTTTACCAGAATTTCACGTAAAACACGATTCTCACAACGAAAATTACTGAAACCATTTCCTAACGAAGATATTAACGTTTTTATTTCAGATTGGTCACGAGGAATTTGAGCTACCCGCTCACAAGAAACTCAAAGCTCTACGCGAGTCAATTTGCGCACTACAACGGTTTCAGCAATCTTCTCAATCTAGCAATGTTCGTTTCCACCATGTGTTGTTTAAACTATACCTAAGCAATTTGCTATAACTGAGCCAAAGCGTCAAGATTGAGGTTGCCAGATTTTTATATCGCAGAGACTGTCGTTATGACGTTTAGCGCGCGATGTGAATCACGTAGAGCATTGAGTTACTCATGAGCGGGTGGTTTGATTTTACGCATCAAGAATCATTAAATATCTTCGTAAGGAGTTGATTTTGGTCATTTTTGTTGTGCGCATCGTGTTTTACGTAAAATTTTGGTTAAGAAGCATGTACCTATCAGAATGCTGAAATTCGTACCTTGTCTAGTGGTCCATTGCCATGGCCAATTCTAATTTTTGTTATTTTAATTAGGGTTGATTTGCTCCAATTTAGGTTTTGAAACCAGGGTTTTGTTTTAATTTTAGGTTGAATTTGGTGGAGTCTTTTTCCTTTGAACTTAGATGAATGGACCCAGTCTTTCTGCCAATCTAAGAGTACCTAATTCTTTTTTGCATCGGACGAGGAGGTTATTGAAGGGAATGGGGGCGTTTTTTTTTATCTACAGCTAATTCTGAGTTATTGCATAATTTATCCACTTTTTCGTTGCCCGCAATGCCAATATGTGAGGGGATCCATAAGAATTTTACTTTAGTTTCTGCGTAATTTAGGGTTTGGAGTTCTTCAAGTATATTGATGATTATATAGTTCTTAGGGAAATTGTAAGGGTTTGATATTGCGTCGGCACAGCTTTTAGAATCAGTAATTATTAGGAATTCATGTTTTATTTGGATTGTTTTTATGTAATTTACAGATTATATTATGGCAAAAGCTCCTGCACTAAAGCTGTGAAAGGGGGTAAGAAGTTAAAAAACCTTATGGGTGTTTTCATGAAGGAGGGCGCATGTTACAGTGCCTTTATTGCGGGCTTTTAATCCATCTGTAAATATTTTTTCGTAATTTTTGAAATTAGTTTCTAGGATTTCTTTAAAATTGCTTACAATACAAAAATGCCACTAAAATGCCATACAATACACAGTAAGCCTGACGGAGTTAAAAAATTTTATATGTCCGAATCGAAAATTCTTCATATTTTTAATTACATAGTTTTTAGAGTCACGGTTGAGGTGAGTTCAGCGTGGGTAGAAAAATCAGACCTGTCGACAGAGCGCCACTGGTTTCACTCATATCAGAGCCTATCAGCGAAACCAGTGGCGTTCCGTTGAGAGGCCTGATTTCTTTTCCCTCACTGAATTCTCCTCAACCGATACCCTTGAAAAAAAAGCAGCGCTCTATCAAAAGATCAAAACATGGCTAGAAGAGGTAAAAAAATATTGATAAACAATAAACAGCCAAAAAGAAATTTCAACGACATTCGTAAAGAAATTCAAACGAAGGTGATACAGTCAACGAGGATGAAGAATCGTCATCGAGGCAAATTGTATGTCATGTGTGCGTCGCTCTGAAACGTTACTTAGAGGCCCCTCCCTTTTTTTTAAGGTGCACAAACTCCAACTAGGTGAAACAGGACTGCCAAGTGATAAGGTAGGCATTTTTTAACGAATTAGCAGGCTAAATTTGTGTGGACTGGTCACGATGCAACATATAAAGAAGTAAAAAACGGTGAAGGCAGACAGTATTTGAAGAAACAAATTTTCCTCTCTTTTTCTCTTGAGCGGATAATTTTTCATAGTTTCATCCACTCAAAGTTGTTTCATGTTTCTGTTCAATTTATTCCTAATCTAAACCAATCATATCTAATCCATCTATATTTTTTAACTTTTTCCAGCCAGGTTTTGAGAGTCACGGTTGAGGTGAGTTCAGCGTGGCAAAGAAATCAGGCCTGTCGACAGAACGCCACTGGTTTCGCTCTTATCAGAGCCTATCATCAGCGAAACCAGTGGCGTTCCGTTGACAGGCCTGATTTCTTTTCCCTCACTGAACTTTCCTCAACCGATACCCTTGAAAGTAAAGCTGCGCTGTATCAAAAGATCAAAACATGGCTAGAAGAAGTAAAAAAATATTGGTAAACAATATACAGCCAAAAAGAAATTTAACTCTCGGCTTGTATCTAATCTGTCCCAGTTTTTAGCTAGCAAATCATGCCAGTACAGTTTGCCGGGTAGCTTAATGTTGAACAAATTGTAAATATGAAATTCACGCAAGTTAAGCGTCTAACTATTATCTCATGTTTTCTGCATTATTACAGATTTGCAAAAGTTACACAGGCAGAACAAAGCAAAAGCAGTGATGATAGAACAAAGTCAGCAATAAATGGATATTCTCGTGCCTACATTATCAGTATTTTAGTGTGGCGGTAATTTACTCTGTGGGAAGATGCGTGGCAGGTAATTGATTGCTTTTCTTTAATTTAAGTTCTTTCCCTTAGTAGGGGGAAAATAAGTGAATTGCAAACGAACTTACAGGGGGAGAGGATATGAGCTCAGTGCGTAGGTACTACCAAAACTGACAATTTTCACTTAACTCTCGTCGCATTTCCGAAAGTATTTGACAAGCGTTATCACACAGAACTTTAGAATCAATCGTGCACCACACAGAATCAAGAAAATTTATAGGAAACCTCCAAAATTAAACGAAAAACGAACACACGTAATGAGCAATGACCAAGCAATTTAGTGACTAGATTCTAACCTCAATAAACAACGCTGAGTGGTGGCTCCCGAATATGTTCAAGGCTGGCGGCAACTTTAAATTCACGCACTGAATAACATTGACGTAAAATATTATAATTTTCTGCGAATATACACGGAGCCGTCTGAATTTTAATCTGATGGTGACGCCATTTTCCGAAAACTGAATCTCACCTCACTGCCAACGGCCGTGGAAGCGGTTGGTTCCGATTCTGAAACCCGTAACTTACGCTCGGCTCCTATCCGGTCTTACGGCCACGAAGGCCGCGCGAGCTCCACGGGACATCGGCCGCGGCATCCGGTACTAGCTGGCTGACGGCGCGTTAGCATCGGGATCACCAGTGTCCAGAGCAACCGGGTCACAGGGCCGTGGTTTTTTTTTTGAGTGCTGTAAAACATCATGGAGTACGTAGTAAGTAAATTTTCGTAGGCACATTACGCTCTAAGAGTGATTTTATTTTGCTTGTCGTAGCTTGAGCGTCATCAAACAACTCATTTGGCATCTTCGAACATTATTGTGGATTTTACACTATTTGTTAAATTAGGTTTTTGCATCACTTCTTTTTTCTCTGATAATCCAAGTTACTAAATGTGGATAGTAATAGTAACTGAAGAAAACAAAAGCTTTGAGCTGTTCTGAAGATGTTTGATTGCCTTATGTTTTTGTTTCATTATATTTTCAGTGAGAACAACCCGCAACAACAAACCACAAACGATTTCTTTATATGATACCAATGCATGTATGCAGGACACGTTTGCCAAAACAGTGCCAAAAACAAATGGAATATCACAGAAAGACTGTAAAGGTATGGCTCATTTTCTTTTCTTCAAAACGTGCCTTTCCCCCCTCATAACTGACGTATCGTAATTCCTATTCCGTTCAATAACTCAAAGCTCAATGCTCAAAAATTGATATTTCTGTTTTGACCAGCATCTTCTGGAAGTCCCTCAACCAGGCATTGCAGCAACTGGTGTCTAAATATACTTTTACTACTTAGCATACTGTGAGGACGCCATTGAAAGAGTGTGCTTATTGCCCGAAGAAATTTTTCATGAAGTTGTTAGGTAATGCCTTATTTATGCCCAGCTTGTTAGTTGATTGATCAGTTTCTCCACACCTTCCTCCTTGCAGTCACAAAGACTTCTGATCACTATCTTAAAAGACAACCTTGATTGCCCTCCTTGATGTAGATGTCTCAAGCTCTGTAAAACATCATGGAGTACGTAGTAAGTAAATTTTCGTAGGCACATTACGCTCTAAGAGTGATTTTATTTTGCTTGTCGTAGCTTGAGCGTCATCAAACCACTCATTTGGCATCTTCGAACATTATTGTGGATTTTACACTATTTGTTAAATTAGGTTTTTGCATCACTTCTTTTTTCTCTGATATTCAAAGTTACTACATGTGGATAGTAATAGTAACTGAAGAAAGCAAAAGCTTTGAGCTGTTCTGAAGATGTTTGATTGCCTTATGTTTTTGTTTCATTATATTTTCAGTGAGAACAACCCGCAACAACAAACCACAAACAATTTCTTTATATGATACCGATGCATGTATGCAGGACACGTTTGCCAAAACAGTGCCAAAAACAAATGGAATATCACAGAAAGACTGTAAAGGTATGGCTCATTTTCTTTTCTTCAAAACGTGCCTTTCCCCCCTCATAACTGACGTATCGTAATTCCTATTCCGTTCAAAAACTCAAAGCTCAATGCTCAAAAATTGATATTTCTGTTTTGACCAGCATCTTCCGAAAGTCCCTCAACCAGGCATTGCAGCAACTGGTGTCTCAATATACTTTTACTACTTAGCATACTGTGAGGACGCCATTGAAAGAGTGTGCTTATTGCCC